TCTATGGTTAGCCTAAACTTTTACCTCATATATCAACTGAACAGTGAGTGCCATAGAAAACTTATTTGTCAATCCAGTGACCAACCATTGAGTGGTAATAGTAATAGTGATGGCAATAGTGAACAATTGGAGAAAAATGAGAAAACAATACAAAGTGACACAAAAGCCGTAAATGAAAGGCTAAGTGAGAGTCGTGTTCGTAGAGATGTGAGACAAATACACGACAAAACATATCGTAGTATTGATTACAGCAATGAAAACAATGATTCTTTGACTCCAATTCTTCACGACTATTCACTGCCTCCTCGTCTCTCTTCTGACCATTTGCTGTCTTCACATCATTTAAGGCATCGCAAGAAAGTCAGATCCCGTTCCGCTTCTGACCCACCGTTTGACGACAATAACGGGCCGTCCGTTGAGTTCTTCCCGAAACCACAGCCAACGCAAGAAACTCAGGGATATGTATGGCTTACGTCTTACTCAAGAATTCCTGTGAGTATTCAAATCATCGCATTTTCTGCTCAACTATTTTACTCCTAATTTACACTTTCTGAACACTTCATTCTCTCTCTCTCTCTCTCTCTCTCTCTCTTCCTCTCTTTCTTTCTCTCTTTCATTCATATCGATGTTTTCGATGGGCTCTCAAGTCCTCCACAACCAACCGAATACATACTCTTCCGGTCATTGCCTTAAGAACAGCGAATGCTTTGAGGTATACATTGGAAAGCAATGGCTAAAGAATAATGTATTTTAATGCAGAATATCATTAATTAACAGAAATTAGAGCTTAAGAGTGCGGAAAGTCTATCGAATACGATATTAGGTATATCCAGATGTTTGGCGCTCTTCTATATCTACCATCAGTTCAAAAATCTGTACGGTTTGGGATCCAAATACTTGGTCGGAATCTCAGCCCTCTTTACCGTATTCTCGAGTTTCATATTCTGTTCCGCAGTCTTATATGCATTGAACGCAAACTTCATTGAATTAAAGTATGAGTTGTGCTAAAAAAGTATATAAAACGAAAATAAATTCATTTAAATATTTTGTTTGTACCAAATATAGCGACGCTTTGCCCTTCTTTTTTCTCTTATCCGACTTATCGAAAGCCAGTTTATTAGCGCAGTTCGCCCTCTCCTCCTATACCAGAGTACGTATGCATTCATTCATTATTCAATTGTTTATTTTTAGTACATTTTGCAAATTATTTATAATATAATTAATGGTTTTGTCTGATTAGGAGGAAGTGAGAGAGAATATCGCGAGAGGAATGGCTATATTGGGCCCGACATTGACTTTGGATACGTTGGTCGAAACGTTGGCAATAGGTGTGGGAACAGTGTCTGGTGTGAGCAAACTTGAAGAGATCAGTTGCTTCGCCTGCATATCGGTTCTCGTCAATTATGTCGTGTTTATGATACTATTCCCGGCCTGTCTTTCACTGGCATTAGAGGTAACCATTATTTTCAATCATTATTATTGCTGTAATCCTTGCGATCACTAATTGAGTGATTATTATAATAGTTATCGCATAATCGCGAGGATAGCGCACCCGTTTGGCAATTGAGTACTTTAACCAAAATCTTGCAGTTGGAGTCGGAGAAGACTCCCAATCCAGTGATACAACGAATCAAACTGATAATGTCTGCGGCCCTAATGCTTGTGCATACGCTTAGCCGGTGGCCCATTGGCGCCGAAACCGACTCTTCCTCATTGGACTCGACTTTCCAACACTCGGATCACGACTTCCTTATGGATCGCGAGCCGACATTCTTAGAGACTTTGTTCAAAAAATATCTGACAGTATGCTCTGAACAGGTAGTGATGATTGGACTGGTGTTCGCACTCGCCGTCAAATATATATTCTTCGAGAATAAAGAGTATTATTCGGAACACATTAAACACCAATACAAACACGAAATGAAACAGCAAAACATGAACACACAGACCGCTCAAGAGAGCAATGGCTGCAAATTACGTACTCTCGAGAAGCCGAGTATTACGGTTTCGCAGGACTCGGACACCGAATCTATGATTTATGAAAACGTTAAGTCGAAAGCGTCCGATAAGATTCCCATTTCGAGAGACATTTCGGTGAATGAGAACGTCTCAGAATTGCCCACATTTTTCATCGGAGACGACTGTTCCTCAGATATGAGTGAAACCGAATACATCGACCGAGAGGTGCAAACCGACGAAACCCGTATCGCTTCCACCGACGCGACCGCTTGCGAAGAATCTGAAATCAGAGAAATTCAAACACTACTCGATTTGTATAACAGAGAGGATGGCGTCAATCAGTTGACGGATTCAGAGATTCAGTATTTGGTGGATAAGCAACACTTGCCGTCCTATAAGTTGGAGTCCATATTAGGAAACGCCGAAAGAGGTGTTGCCATCAGAAGGAAACTGATAGAGAAATCGTCTGATAGGATGGGGATCCTGAAGAACGTGCCGTACACTCACTACGACTACTCTCTAGTGATGGGCGCGTGCTGTGAGAACGTGATCGGTTACATACCGGTGCCGTTAGGCGTCGCCGGACCACTGCTTTTGAACAAAAAACAATATTATGTGCCAATGGCTACGACGGAAGGCTGTCTAGTGGCGAGTACTAACCGGGGCTGTCGGGCGCTCCTTCTCTCGGGTGGTGTCAGTAGCAGTATTTTCTCGGACGGTATGACCAGAGGACCGGTTGTTCACTTTCCCACAGCTATGAAAGCGGCCGCAGCTATGAATTGGTTGCAAAGGGAAGAAAACTTTCAGCGAATCAAAACCGTATTCGACTCGACCTCCCGTTTCGCGCGTTTACAGCGAATCCACCCGCGAGTGGCCGGACGTTACCTTTATCTGCGATTTGTTGGTTCGACCGGCGATGCGATGGGAATGAATATGTTGTCCAAAGGCACAGAATCGGCGCTTCAGGAACTGAGTAAAGTGTTTCCCGAGATTCAGGCCTCGTGTTTGAGCGGCAACTTCTGTACGGACAAGAAGGCGGCGGCAGTCAATTGGATCGAAGGCAGGGGTAAATCCGTGGTCTGCGAGGCTATCATTCCCGCAAAGGTTATCGAAAAGGTGTTGAAGACATCGCCCGAAGCGTTAATGGAACTGAATATAAGCAAAAACCTGATCGGATCGGCCGTTGCCGGCACTATAGGCGGCAACAATGCTCACGCGGCTAACCTCGTGGCCGCTATTTATATCGCTTGTGGACAGGTATGTATGGCTTGTTATATAGGGGTTACTCATCGATGACAATACTAATTGATATGTGTTGTGTTGATGATTAGGATCCGGCACAGACTGTGGGCAGTTCTAACTGTATTACTCTAATGGAATGTCATGGAAATGATCTGCACGTGTCGTGCACTATGCCATCCATCGAGATCGGAACCATTGGCGGCGGAACTGTACTCAAACCACAGAGTGCTTGTCTTGAGGTACGAATTGAATCCATTAGATACACAATACAATCAATGATTAACACCAATGTATTGAATATTAACAGCTGTTGGGAGTGAAGGGCTGTTCGAAGGAAATAGCGGGCAGTAATTCGTGCGAATTTGCGACTATAGTGTGCGCCACTGTATTGGCCGGAGAGTTGTCACTGATGTCTGCGTTAGCGGCCGGCCATTTGGTCCGCTCTCATATGACGCACAATCGGTCCAACATTAATATTAACGCCGAGAACGCGGTCTCCCTTTCATCCAATCCTCTAAAAAGTGTGACAAATGGTTAGTCAAAGACGGCGTCGAAAAAAACATTTGATAACTTTTTAAAGTATAAAATATTTTATAAATTATTTATATTAAACATAAAATCCTTAATTATATATACATAGAAATAAATTTTTATTTTATATGAAATCAATTCATTGTTGTTATAATACATTCAATAAATCACAAGAATATAAAGATAATTGTTGTTCACATTTTCGTAGTTTGAATTTGTTTCGCAAACAGTAAGCGTTTGGTGTAATCATTGTTAAGAGAAACCATTGCGAGGGATAGTATTGCATGCATTGTCGCGGCTTCTCAAACACGTCGCTAATGCTCTGACCTAAACATTGAAATTCAATTCATTGTTAATTTACATAATTTACAAATAATTGGTCGCAAAAAATACCTGAAATATTGAACCGAATGGTAGTTTGTTTGATGGAAACCGATTCAAATACTGGTTCTGAATACGATTGCCGTCCTCTTGAGATTCTTTTAGCCATTTGTGTCTCTTTTTCATCTCGTCTTAACTTTTTAATAGTAAGTTTGACGCCTAGAGTCGGATCACTAATAGTGCTCTTAATCTGAAGCACATCCGTAACGACACATTCCCTATCGATGTCACTGATGACAGAGTTGGCGCACGAGTTGCTGTCTTCCGGATAATCACTTCTCATGTCTTCGGTATGTGTCGGCGCCTCATAGAAGGCGTCCAACAATTGCTCTCCGGTTTGAAGTGATTCTTGTGTTTCAAATAAACTGATCGGTCGTTTGGTTGACTTTATAGTCTTTGGTGAATAAAATTTGGACCTAATTTTGTGACAATCGATGGGAAGTCTGGCGTACAATGAATCGCCAAAAATGTCTGACAATTGAGTATAGAGTTTGAAATCGACTTTAGTTTCCGCTGAACTCTCTATAAGTGATCGCGTTTTGAGACAAATGAGTTCTGCGATGAATAATAGCTCTCCAAAGACTACGAGACCTTCTCTTCTCAACTCTGGTTTAATAGTGTAGTCAATGGCCGGCAAGAGATGATTGAAATATTGATTAAGTATTGGAGACAAGTGTTCAATGATTATATCATAGCCTAAACACTGAAACGCTTTGATCGCACCGTAATGTGAGCCGAAAGGCTTGGATGAGTCGAGCAAACAGTTTAGCAAACAATCAAATGTCTGTTTCTTGAGTCGATTGACAACAAACTGTGAGAAGCGCTCATTGAATACCTTTACGAGTAAATGAGAGGCAGAGTCGCGAAGAGACCAGTGATCTGATACTGGATTTAATTCTTCAATAATACATTTGAGTATTGATTGAATCAAAGTCTTGAGATAGGGATCAGTTGCCAGAAATACAGATGCATTTCTAAGGAGACATTCAATTGTATTGAGAAATCTCTTGAGTTGTGAGATATCATGACTTAATCTTTTAATGCCATTCAATATGAAGTTTAGAAGATATGGCAAAACCGGGTTCAGTCGACAATTGCTCGACAAGTCTCTTAACATCTTAATGAACAGCTGTTCATCGGTTCCCAAAATGGCTTTCATGACATTGTGGTAATAGGCTTTGTGTTCATCACTTAAGTCCAAACCACTGCCATCACTGGTAGTGACCGTTGAGTCCACCGAAATCCAGTCCAAACCCAAGCGTTTGTCAGTTTTAAATACTTTTATATCGCAAACAGTTTTGTCAAACATTTTGTTCATCTCTTCGTGTAAGTCGACGACCGGATCCGTATAAACGAAGACTTTTGCCTCTTTCACCAGAACTGTATCGATGGGCGAGTCGTTGGCATCAAAGCCGAGCACATCGTCCGAGTGCTGTGCGGCCAACGCTGTCCTCACGTGACCAGTGGTCAGACGGCGGGTCTTCTGACGAGTCATATGATTCATAGCGTTGGCCACCAATTGTCTCAACCGATAGCTCACGTCAGACGACAGCTGAAGAAGCGCCTCATCGGTGAGTGTCTTATCCAAACCCATTTGTTGGCCAATCAATTGTATGGACTCTTTAGGCCATAACACGAATCGCTTCTTATTCTTCACACTATTATTACTATTAGTGTTTGTATTAGTGATTGAATTCATCATTAAATCATGCATTAAATCAATGCTGTATTCAAAGCATGCGTTAATTGTATACTAAATTCAAACATAAATTAATTCAATTCAAAAATACAGTCTTTTATGTCTCGTATTCATTGAAAAAACATGTATTTTATCGTAAATTACGGCAATATTTTGGGCCAACTTTTAGGACCACTTAATGGCAAGAAATGATTGAAATAATGATTACATAATAACGTTATTTATGAACGAAATGTGGGTTTTGTTGCAAACAATTGATTGCAAAAAGTTTTTTCAAAAACAAATCAAAACAAACCAAACCTTTGAAGACATGCTTTGCCTTTGAATATAGCGTTGATTACAATTGTGTTGTCATTGGAAGTGATGTTTCATAAAGTCTTAACCAATTGTTTCATTCATTCAATCAATTGTTCACAAAGAGTGCACTTCTTGTCGAAACAGCGGCTCTTGTGGTCATCTAATGCGGGACACAATGCGGTCAATACAGTCATCTCCAGGTGTTTGTCATCGACACCGTCGGCGGTCACCAGTCATACAGTTGTCGACACGTTTCGCACCAATCAATCGGATCCAAGACTTCACTCCACACAACACTTAGCCATGTATTACACGATTCCCGCAGACATCGCGACCAAACTCTTTGTTTTGGGAGGTTTTAGTGGACAACAACAGCGAGCCTTCAAGACATTCAGAGAGACCACTCTTATGGTCAGACGACCCGCTCTTGAGGTCATGGATTATCTGCGAAGAGCTCACTATAACAGACCCGTCAATCGATACGTCCTTTGTATGCATTTCTCGCCTTTCAATTCAATATTAAGTCTTATTGTTTGAACAGACGGTCCGATCGGTTCGGGGAAGACATTCACCGCAAACCATGTCTTGCACTACGGGTTTGAAGAGAAGTTTGTTTTGCTTTATTGTCCGAATCCCACCGATTGGGTCCAATATCCCGAAGAGACGTCTCAATCCAGTTATAAAGGCCAACGAATGGACACTCCAATCGATGCCGCCGTTTGGTTGCAACTCTTCCGCACACATAATAATCATTTGTTGGATGAGTTAGACGTGAGTTGTAATGTTGACAAGTCTTCAATCCTTTGTTATCTAATGTCTAATACCATCAAAGTTAAGGGCTTCCAAGCAATACGTGTGGAGTCAGCGAGAGATCACAGAACCGGGCGATCCGTTGAAGAATATTCTTGAACACGGAATCAGTCGTATTAAACACTCGTCCGATTGTATGGCAGTTATTCTCAAAGAGATTAAAGAGCAGAGCGTTAGCGGGAAGTATAGGGTTTTGGTGGTCGTCGACAAAGCGAACGCTTTCTACGAGTCGAGTAAAATTAAATACCCGGACAGGAGTCTCGTCGACATCGATAACATCACAATCGCGCGCGCCTTCAAAAAACTCTTCACCAATGATTGGGTATTGCCTTTCAATACAAGTCATATTGATTTTGACACTTTATTTTGATTGATTGAACGCTTAGACTAACGGCGCTGTTGTGGCCACAGTTGACAAGAAACTGGTGGTTCCGTACAGAATACACAAAGTGTCGCGACCTTTCAAAGCCAAAGCCAAGTCAAGGGCGAGCGACAATTGGGGTCCGTTCACTGTCTCTCATATCAGTGATTTGCCACATGACTTGTTGACCAATACGGTTGGTCTTAATAGCTGTTCCCTTTAAATGCAATGAAATAGTGATTTCAATTTATGGTTTCGTTTTTAGGGTTTCAAACATTTTGATCCATTTATTCCGATTGAAGTTCCCATTTATGACGATAAAGAGATGGAGAGTTGTCTTAACTATTATAACGATAGGAAATGGATTCAGAGACCTATCGCTAAAACAGTTGAGGGCAGGAATGAAATTAAATTTTTATCCGCATTTAATCCATTAGAGACTTATGAGATCTGTTGTGGACTTTAATAGCAATAATAAAACTAATTATTTCAATATTATGTTTTGATATTTTTAATATTATAAATGACATCTTAATTACTGGACCGTCAATGCTATTGACAATATTTCTTGAAAGTTTACAATTTTTAATAATTTAATAATAGAATTGTTTAATTGTTTATAAAATTACAAATTATAATATTATACACATTAATAGTAATTCTTAAGGCATAAATCAGAATATTTTCTAATAATTTATGTAGTATATTATATTTAGAATTTAATATTGAATATTGTAAACAATTTTAATGTATTGTAAGTTATTATGAATAACTAGAAGTTGAACATAAGATGTAGTCATATAGGGTTTAGGAATTTTCAATATCAAATAAATTGACAAAAATTAATGGAAAAATAAAGTGAATTTTTGCCACAACTGACAACTAAATGAATCATTTGAATGCTTTCATTGTTATAAATGAGAAAAACATCACTTCTTTGAAATTAATTAGTTGTCTGATTTTGAATGTGTGTAACAAATAGAAAAAACTATATCTAAATGTTCTACAGTGTAATACAGTGTGAAGATAGGTAAACGGTGTACTGAATAATACAGTACACTATAGAATCTACTTATGTTATAGACATTTGAGTCCATTAAACAATATTATTGTTGTAAAGCTAGACATCATATGCGAGAGTGAGTTCACAAAAAATTGCTTCAAAACACTATTGAAGTGTTGGTTATATTTACTGTATTTTTATACTGTTTTATCGACTCGTCTGACACAACAGAACTCTGTATTCAATGTATTCAATGCTGTGATGGGAGAGAGTGTAGTGAATATATGGTGTGTATATATATTCTGTGCTCTAAGTCTGAGGTGATCTCAAACAGCATTTTCATTCTCAATGCATTCTCAGTAACAATGCATTCATTGTGAGAGTAAACTCGTCGAGAAGCACATGGACTCAGACTCCGAGAGTGAGAGACACACACTGTTAGAGAGTTAGAGAGTAGTGAATGAGTTGCCAGAGAATGAGAGAATCTGGTCATCACTTTCTATAGAATCCGTAATTTTGTTGAAAACATTTTTCACTTATTTTCTCTTCTTCTAAACGTATAGCAAAAATAATGGCTTTTGTTTTGAGTAAATATAATCACAGATTCATATATATTCTGATAGCTGTGCTCTACTCTATGGTTAGCCTAAACTTTTACCTCATATATCAACTGAACAGTGAGTGCCATAGAAAACTTATTTGTCAATCCAGTGACCAACCATTGAGTGGTAATAGTAATAGTGATGGCAATAGTGAACAATCGGAGAAATATGAGAAAACAATACAAAGTGACACAAAAGCCGTAAATGAAAGGCTAAGTGAGAGTCGTGTTCGTAGAGATGTGAGACAAATACACGATAAAACATATCGTAGTATTGATTACAGCAATGAAAACAATGATTCTTTGACTCCAATTCTTCACGACTATTCACTGCCTCCTCGTCTCTCTTCTGACCATTTGCTGACTTCACATCATTTAAGGCATCGCAAGAAAGTCAGATCTCGTTCCGCTTCTGACCCACCATTTGATGACAATAACGGGCCGTCCGTTGAGTTCTTCCCGAAACCACAGCCAACGCAAGAAACTCAAGGATATGTATGGCTTACGTCTTACTCAAGAATTCCTGTGAGTATTCAAATCATCACATTTTCTGCTCAACTATTTTACTCCTAATTTACACGTTCTGAACACTTCATTCTCTCTCTCTCTCTCTCTCTCATTCTTTATCCTAACTCGACTTGAATTGCATTTTTGAATACAAATTAGTTTATCGAATAAATTGCTTTTTTGAATTATCCGGAGAATTGTCAAAACGAAGCAAACAATATACTCAAATAATACTCTCTCTCTCTCTCTCTCATTCTTTATCCTAACTCGACTTGAATTGCATTTTTGAATACAAATTAGTTTATCGAGTGCTATATGTTTGGCACCGGAAGGCAAAAGATAAAAATCAAATTTGTCCACATTTTTCATTAGATTTTGCGCTTAAATTATATTTAAAATTCTTATTGTTCTTACATTTGATTCTTCCTTTATTTTGTAATTTCATGGAAATAACAATTTTATAAAAAATAATAAAATGTATCACTTTATCTATAAAGCACTGTAAGCTATAAATATAAAAGCCATGTTCTCTCTCTCTCTCTCTCTCTCTCTCTCTCTCTCTCTCTCTCTAACAATTGCCGCCACATTTCTCCCGAGGCATCAAAATTTCATCTGATCTTTGAATGTATTTTATATTTTACTATAAACTCGAATATATTGTTAAAAAAGTATTCTTCGTCCGTATTATATAGTATTTCTTTTATCACTTTTGGTTTATTTTGGATATGATTTTTATATCGTTGTATTGAATATACAGTACAGTATATATTGATATAAAAACATTTATTGAATCTTTTCTTTTGCATAAAATACTATGAAATAAGTTTGACAACGAGTTTACTGTAATATCTTACTGTTTGCGTGTGTTTTCATTTTTGTCGTCAATATTGAGATGAATATAATTATTGTAGTGAACGACAAGAGGAAAGTATTTGCATGTGTTTTGTGCGATGGGTTGATGTGGTCTCTAATCTTTTGTCTGCATCTCTAAATAATTGTATTCTAGTCTGTGTTGTGATAATGCAAACCGTAGTAATACAGGTGTTGTTAACCATTCTGTATAACAAATTGAGTTTTCTTCCTCTCATTCACTGTAGATATTCACACATTTAGAGGCAAATAATGTGTTATATTATCTTTACATTACTATTAGGGCACTTGAGTACAGAATATGGGCTTTAATTTCAGTTGTATCGCATTATTAATATTTATTTGTTTTCAATTGTCTTTAAAGATGTTTTTATATCCAAACTAATAATTTATATGATGTTTAGATTAAGGATTAAGTATTTCTAAGCGTATAGTGTGTAAACTCAACCCAACATTTTGAACATATTTTTTGGCGATAATTTGATATTTTCGTTCAATTCATTCTTCTTCACGAACTTCTTATACGATAGTAATGTATAAACACATGCTTTACCGCCTATTTGTTCCCATTTATCTGTTCAGTGTTGCCATCATTTTCTTCAATTATCACTAAAACAAACTAAAAATTTGTTTCGAGAATTTTGTTCTTCATTATAGACACGAATTTAAATCTACACTTAAAAGCTTTTATATATAAATCACAAATGATTTATAAGACTGGAAAAATCAATGAAAAATAATATATTATGTTATCCTTTCAAACATTAATTAAATTAAGTTTGAATTAATTTTCAACGCAAAGTAATTATTATAAATTTAATAAAGTTTTCTTTTAATATATATTATGTATAATTAAATGAATTGTTTGTAAGAAATTCTTATAAATTTCTATCCTTTTGTTCTGTGTTTTCATTATTCAATGGAGAGAATGACTTACAGTATAACAGAATAAAACAGAATATTATTATAAATAATAGAATAATATTTATAATACAAGTTTGACATAACATTATCCCATCACTTATATCAACCAAATATCACTATTTATTATTACCTCTCATGACTCATCATTTTGTTCTCTATTCTCCTCCTGTCCTCCTCTGCCCGGACTCTAGAGAGAGAGAGAGAGAGAGAGAGAATTTAAAAATAAATATAAGAAAATATAACTAAAAAAACAAACATGAATGTTTTTCTTTCTAATTGAAATTCTAAACTGTGTAAGATTATAAATACAATTGTGTTTAAATTCAATATATGATAATTTTATCATATCCTATAAACCATATATTCCATATCTGAATTGTGGTTAAAAACATTAAATAGCTTATTTGAGTATATTGTTTGCTTCGTTTTGACAATTCTCCGGATAATTCAAAAAAGCAATTTATTTGTTACTAGTCTTACATTTTGATGATTACCTATTGATGATTGTTTGGCTGTAAACGGGGTTTCTTCAAAACATTACAATTTTGATTATCATTCATTAATCATTGATAATTTATAATTAAATTACAGTACATTACATTACATTCATCATTTTTCTTTATATACTCAAATAAGCTATTTAATGTTTTTAACCACAATTCAGATATGGAATATATGGTTTATAGGATATGATAAAATTATCATATATTGAATTTAAACACAATTGTATTTATAATCTTACACAGTTCAGTATAAAATTTATATTTTATATTATAAATATCATATAAACACAGTTTCAAGGTGGGATTTACTAATATTGATATTTTGTGATATAAATATGCAATTAATTTACTGTATACTTATTATGTGATAAATTAAAACTATTTTTCAGACAACTTTTTAAGAAGCAGTGAATTTGTTTGAATTGACAGATAATTACTCTCAAATGATATTTAAGCGGTTGTATTGATATTGTATTGACTAAGCGTTGTGTAAACATAGCCTTAAACATAAGGTAAATCCAAAAGTTGTCAGATATTTGTGGCGTTAAAATCAATAACTATTTATTTCCAGAATTACCGCAAAATATTGTCCATTTGGTAGACATTCAATAATTTCTATTAAATTTTGTTAACAATTTTTTGTTGAATTTAATGTTTTATGATATCTTTTAAAAGCATTTGCTTTTGTTTATTTGTTTTTCAATTAGATTAACCCTAGAATTTCAATTAGAAAGAAAAACATTCATGTTTGTTTTTTTAGTTATATTTTCTTATATTTATTTTTAAATTCTCTCTCTCTCTCTCTCTCATCATAAGTAGTGATGAGAAAACTTTGTTTGCATTTGAAGCCTAACTTATGTAATATGAAAACCTCATAATAAAAGACTGCATTCGAGTCGAGTTATAATTGCATTGTATTTCCGATCGTTTGACCCCT